TTTAATTATAATGATTATAAATATCAGAATTAATGGGAAATCACTATCTACTACCCTGTGCAGTAATCATGTTAAATAAGAGACGTCAGCTGTTATATATAGATATATATGGAAGCACTGTATATACCCCATGCACCTTTTCCTCCTTTTGGCACCTTCTTTTGACTGTTGAGCCGATGCAACAAGTAAAATTCTCCACTGTAAGATCAATAAAGTATATTTTACCTTACGAACTTTTTGTTTCTGATTGTAGAAATAATTTGTAATGCACTTGTCAGATATCATGCATTTGATCAGGGTACATGGGGTAAACACATTATACACTTTTTAATTACGGTAAATAGATGCAGGATTTCTGTAGGAGTCCAATATTAACGTACAATTATTTTGGTATTTGTAGTTATTTGATATGCTTTATGGTTAATCTTTGTTTTTGCATTTACCAAATTTACTACTTAAAGTTATTAGATATTATTCTTAATTAATATCAATTTAGTGGATTTACACTTAATTATTGTGGATATTTGTAAATCAATTCATTTATTCTTGGGTTTAATGTTCCAGAGACATGATGCTTGAGATTTTAAATGCACCTTTATGCATTCCTTTAATGCATATATATAACTGTACAAGATCTACTCTTTTGCAATCTTTTGAGGTTGCAGTGAGTCAAGCCAGCTGCAAATAACTTCTTTATAGTGCTGTTTTTCTTTCAGGAAAAAAGGAAACCTCCTGTCGTATCCAAGCATACCGGCAGGGGGCGATGTCCATCCCCTTCCTGTCTGGACACAACAAAAAGCTCCACCTGCTGCAGACAAACCAGCAAAAACCTTAGAGCACAGATAACATTGGACTAAACTGACCAAGCTAAAAGTCATTATATTCATTTTAAGGTGATTTCATTTTCACATAGCCTTAAAGGTGGGGCGGGCTTAATGGTTGCAAATCACAATGAAATAGAAACTATGAAATCACAAATAAAAGAAATAAATTGTGTATCTCTGTTTTTTAGACTGAGCCTCCTGTTCGTTGATTCATGCTATCAATTGTTGGCGAAGTTTAAGATTACAACCTAAAATAATAAATGACTAAACATCTTTCAACCCATGAAGCTGAAATCTAGAGGTGAAATCTTAAAGATAATATGGAAATGGACTAAATTGTTTTTATTTTGTGTGTGTTTGAATGCAAAGCAATGATTGGTGATCCCTTCAGTCTGGATGTCAGTATTACTAAAGAAGACGGAGGAAAGATTTCAAACATTCTGCTCTTCCTTTATCAGCCTAGAGCTGTGTTTACAGAAGGTATTTCTTCTTTACATACACTGACCTTAAAAATAGATGTCGAATGTTTGTTTGTTTTCATAGGATGGGTAGTGAGACATACAGCTGTAATAGTAAAAAAAAACAAGAATTTGCCATACAAGTGTGAACTCTTTTTCCCCTGATATGAGCTGATGGTTAAACCTTCACATGAGCTAAAATATCTACACACAGCCCAGGTATGCCTGTTAAAGTGTTGTACCGGAACAATATGTTTTTTGAAGCTATTAACAAGATCTTGACAGAGAAAGAACCCAAAGGGACTCCTGCAGGCCTTACTTAACAGCAGAGGTGTCAAGTAACGCAGTAAAAATGCTTCATTACTGTACTTAAGTACACTTTTTAGTATCTATACTTTACTCCATTAATTATTGTTATTATTTTTCTTCTACCCACACAAGTATCTGTACTTTCTATTCCTTACATTTTTAAAGCAAAGGTTACTCATTACTCTTGGCTTCGGTTTAATGTATATAAATATATATTTCACGTCATGTGTGTCATTCAATGCAGATCATTGGCTCCATCCTCATCTAGTGAAAACTAGTGTAATTGGATGAGTCATATAATGCAAACACTCATTGGTTAGCTAAAGGAAATCATCAGAAGCAAGCAGGTGTTCTTCAAACTGCAAATGTGAATTGTCTTTGCCATGCTACAATGTTGGATTCAGAAAAAGATGGTGAAATGTTTAATAGGTCGGACACAGGCGAGAGCATATCGGGAGATGAAGACGGATACCAACAAGACCTCCCTCATCCTTTGCCCTATCTCAAAGAATTTTTAAAATAGTCGAAAAATTGAGCTTTCAGTTCTTATAGTGGCATCTTGCTGGGGGTTTTTTAAGGTTACTTTATACTTTTATACTTTAAGTAGTTTTTGGAGTGCATACTTTTTCACTTTTACTTGAATAAAGAGGTCAAGTTTATACTTCAACTTTTACCAGAGTGTTTTTAAACTGCAGTATCTATACTTCTACTTAAGTAACAAATGTGTGAACTTTTGACACCACTGCTAAACAGTTGCCCATACTGTCCCAGTGTTTCATGACTATTACTGAAAAAACCCGCTTATAACCCAGAGCTTTATTTATCCATAAAGCTTGATACCACAGGAAAGTCACACTTGAATGAATATTCTTATTTTAAACTCAGAAAAGGCACGTTGTTACTCTTGACACATGAAAAACAAACTTATTCAGTCGCTTTATCTGGAAGACATTATCTTGACATCTAGTAATGACATAAAGAGGCTTAAGGTCTGCTTTAATCAGCTCATATCATAAAAAAAATATTAATTATCTGATAACAAGGGTAGCTTAATAGGAGATTTTTACAGAATTGGCATACGGCAGACATCAATTATTCAGTTAGTAAATGAGATAACGATTAATCGGACTGTTTCAGTCTTAATTAATAGGCCTCTGGCAGAAAGCACCAAGTATGACGGTTTATAGATGTAAGATGGGGTACTTTCTTACCTGGGATAGTTCAAACTCCTGTATTATAAGACTATATTTATTTATTTGCCTTGTCACTTATGAAGTTATTAAAGGAATAGTACACCCAAAACATGATTAGCCTTCATTTTCTACTCACCCCCATGCTGAACAACACCCTGGAGTACTTTTTTAATATCTCAAATGCATCTGGAGATCTGGGAGGCTTCTTGCTGTCTGCTGACTTTCAAATAATGGAGGTCTATGGTGCCCGAGACAGAGAGGTCCATTAAAGTCCACAAAAAACGTGTCAATATTCCTCCATACTGCTCGTCCAATGTATTCCAAGTGTCCTGAGTGGGTAGCATCCAGAATTGACTCGAAACGAAGTCATTTAGAATGTTTTTAGAGCATAAACAGTAGTGTATAGTATTTCCTGAAAGCGCGCACTTGCGCGTTCACGACGCTACGGAAGCCGGCAGACCAAACCAGATGAAAGTGCGCATTCAGCGTCTGCTCTGCCAATAATGCAAGCGTATAAGAAGAAATGTGCTGTTTACCTGTGCAAAGAAAGAAACAACGAAAGAAAAATGTCTGAGGACTTCAGTGTTGAGAAAGAGCATGAGTTCTTTGCTGAGCTGAATGCGCACTTTCATCTGGGTTGGTCTGCCGCGGTTTCCGTAGCGCCGTGAACACGCTTTCAGGAAATCCTATACACTACTGTTTATGCTCTAAAAACATTCTAAATGACTTTGTTTCAAGTAAATTCTGGATGCTACCCACTCAGGACACTTGGAATACATTGGACGAGCAGTATGGAGGAATATTGAAACGTTTTTTGTGGACTTTTATGGACCTTTCTGCCTCGGGCGCCATAGACCTCCATTATTTGAATGTCAGCAGACAGCAAGAAGCCTCCCAGATCTCCAGATGCATTTGAGATATCAAAAAAGTACTCCAGAGTGTTGTTCAGCATGGGGGTGAGTAGAAAATGAAGGCTAATCATGTTTTGGGTGTACTATTCCTTTAATGAGTCAATTGAAAGAGCTTACAGCTGGATTCAGTTAGGAAATCCCTGTGATGTAGTTTCTACCAGGGGTGAGGTGAGCAGCAACATGTGTCTGTTTTCATGTCGGCGGAGGATGAGTCTCTGTGGCAGATTAGTTACAGGATGAGTTACCTGTAGCCTCCCCTTATAAAATAGTCCTACTGTGTTTCTATCAGATCAGTGGAAGGTAAGAAATACAAACATCTCTGTTATTATACTTAAAAATACGGAAGAGGATTAGGGCCACTGAAAAAAAAAGTTAACTGATTTTTAAATTTTATTTCAGTTTAACATGAGAAAAAAGTCAGAATTCTGACTTTAATCTCAGAATTCTGACTTTTTTATTGTCAGAATACAGTCAGAATTCTGAGATTAAAGTCAGAATTCTGAGAAAAAAGTCAGAATTCTGAGATTAAAGTCGGAATTCTGAGAAAAAGTCAGAATTCTGAGATTAAAGTCAGAATTCTGAGAAAAAAGTCAGAATTCTGAGATTAAAGTCAGAATTCTGAGAAAAAGTCAGAATTCTGAGATTACAGTCAGAATTCTGAGAAAAAAGTCAGAATTATATGTTAAACTGAACTAAAATTTAAAAATCAGTTAGTTTTTTTTTTCAGTGGCCCTAATCCTCTTCCGTATAAAAAGCCCATTTATGCTCTAGTATTTTCTTCCTTCCAGTCCATTCTTGTAAACCATCAAAATGAAATGATCATGTTAAGATAAAAAGTTAAATCAATCCAAATTTCGATCGATATACAAAATATTTTTGTTTGCTAATTAAAAAAGAAAACAAAATGTCTAAAACCAAGTGTGATTATTCCAATGGTGTATCCTATTGAGTGTTATAGTAATTTGGGTGAAATGGAACTTAAATTTAAAATAAAACTCAGCTAGGGTCCTCAATAGAGTCTTGGGTTGGCCCTGTTGAAGTCAAAATAAATAAATAAATCCTCCTCGCTTGTAAACACAAAGCAGTTGTATATTAGATATTTGCATTTACTAAAGTTTTCACCGGTCATCTGAGCTACTTTGCCAAAACGGACGCCGAGGCTCCACTTAAAAATCTCAACATGGCTGAAGTTTGCAGTCAGCAGATCCAGAATATTCTGAAAGGTTTGTTATCCCATGCTTACTTTCCTCTCTTCCTCCATTACACGGACTTGGCTGCGTTCTGGATGCTGATCAAGCTGCTGCTCCCGCGCGTAAATGGAAAGCTTTTACGCACCGCTCGTATTCACTTTAAAGGATGTTTAATCGCTGATTTTTTCTTTTATTTTTTATTTTTTTGCCTGCACCATACCTCGCCTGGTAGTTAAGTGGGACTTCATCTCTGGTGATGTGAGGGATGGATGCGGTAATACCTCACAGAGCTGACACCAGAGGGTGGGGGGTAAAAAGCGAGGCGTGCGTGACTGGCAACTAAACGCCAGAGGGACAGAGACATCAATAACATCGCGTTCATCAATAAGGAATCTGGATGGAGTTAGACTGCTTAATTAAATAGGCTGCTCTCTGAATTTGTATACTTTAATCTGATGACCCCCAAAGGAGAACATCCGAGGGAAGACTCTTCAGCACCTCCATCAGCGGGACAACTTAGACTCCAACCGCTCAGCGATGGCTATCAACACTGATGCAGCCTTCGAGAAGAGTGGCCTGGGTGAGAGGGAAGTCTCCAACCCTACCGACTTCCAGGACACCGAGAAGCTGCTGAGCAAAGCCCCCACCGAGCCCACCGGGGAGAGCAACCTTAAACCATCCGACTCCTTTTCTCTGAACACCAGAGGCAGCGTCCGCTCCCTGAACGCGGAGCAAAACGGACACAGATCCCCGCTAAAGTCAGGCTCTTTCGGGCAGCTGACGGCCCCACCCAGGTCTACTTCCAGGCTCAGCCTGGGTCAGCTCTCCTCCCCGGTGCCACAGGGCTCCACGCCCCCGAGTTACCTCTGGCTGGCCATCCTGTCCTGCTTCTGCCCCGCGGTGCCGCTCAACATCTGTGCCTTGTGGTATGCAAGTGTGGTGAGTTTACAGTTTTCATTGACTCTCTATCAGTTTATTATACTTGTATTAGCACCACAGTTGGTTTTCCTCCAGGTCTGCATTTAAATAAGTAATGATTCATGTGTTTTCATTTCCCATCAGTCGAGGTCAGTTCTCCACACTGGAGACATTGAAGGAGCAAGAAAGTATGGGCGTTTATCCATGCTGCTCAGCGCTCTGGCAATGCTGCTGGGTGTGGCTGTAATCCTCTTCATAGTGTTTAACTTTGGTATGGGAGACAACCATCCAACACGCATATAAAGTGCAGAATCAGTATAGGTTGATATCAATGTGTGATATTTTTTTCTATTTCTCTCAGAGACCCAAAAAAACTGAATCCAGGCGAATGGAAAGAGCTTCCTTTAACTACACCAGATCCCACATTTGCACAAAGGAAAGAGGATCTCAGATTGATGAAGACTGAAGAATCACAAGCACAACATAGGAGCTGGAAAAAAAGTCTGAAGGAATTCCAATGTGCACTTTTTTTTTCTTTTGATTTTCTGCTATGGACCAAAAATGAAAAGAGTATGAAGAAAACATGGTTTACGTCATGTATCCTTTTCAGGAAACAGTCCTGCTTGATAATCCCACAAACTCAGGAATAAAGGGATATGTTAAGAAAGGGCAAACCCTTCCAGATACAAAACTAGTGGGACTTTGAGGTAAATAAGAGCTAAGGTAGGGATGTAAGGACTACCATAAAAAAAAAGTGTGAAATGGAGATTGAAGCGATAGAAAGAAAAAGACAGAATGCAACACCTGCCTGCTCTGTTTTACAAAGACTGACTGAACTTATATGGCTGAGGGGGAAAAAAAATATCTGTTTACAATAAGTTTAAAATGGAGATGCACCGATCAGGATTATATATATATATATATATATATATATTTTTGGCTATTATGATTTCCCAGTGTCCTTTGGGGTCTAATCGCCTGATACTAGTCTTTGTGCTGCACTTGTTTTGGATTTGACCCTTTTATTTACTATAAACGTCCTAAAATGAATCACATGCTGTTGATTTGGTGCATTTACAGCCTTTTCTCCTTGGATATACTATTATTTTTTAAGTACTCATAATCCATGGGAGAAGGATATACTCATCTGATTAGATATGCAAAAAAAAATGATTGACATTTTAATGAAGGAGGAGACCTATAGATCTGAATTTATTTTTAAAGGAATACTATGGTTTGTTTTGGGGGGTATTGCTGTTGTTTTTTTTTTTTTCAATTTAATAGTCCAAAAAAAGAAAGATTTAGTGCTCTATTTAGCAAAGTTTAACAAACAGCTGCTCCAAAGTGTGCCTTGAGTAATTGTGAGAAGGTTAAAAATTATAATCAAAAAGCATTATTAACCAAATATAAGTTAAGATTGTAATTTCAGTGAAAAACTTCTTCAAATGACTCCCCGCGCAGCTGTCTGGGCAGGTTGGAAGCATTGATTTGAACTGAAGGGGCCACAAAATCATTCAGACGGCTGCCAATGACCCCAGGGGCCTTGCTTTGGACACTCCTGGTTAAACATGTGAAAACTTTCCCGTATTTGATCCGCTCATCACGAGAAGAAAAAAAAGTCTGATTCAGATGTATAGCTGATTGTTGGGGTGCATCTCTAGTTTAAAGCACATTTATCAACCTCTCTGCTCTTATGGTGTGATGCTCTGCTTTTGCGTGCTAACTTGATCAATTGTACCAATTCCTGGTTGGCTTCCACTTAGCTGTGTAGATGTTTACAATACACGATAAACAATGAAACAGGGCGTTTCCCTTTATATGCACTGATGTCGGCACTCTGATGTTCATGTTTATACATTCATACTGTATGACTGGTTTTTCTGTGCCATAGTTTTTGCATGGCTGAAATAAACTTGACTGAGCATGACCCATTTGAAAGCTCACCACCTTTTAATTAACAAAATCGTACATCAACAGTACGGCATCCCAGTAAAATCTCTTTATGCATTTATAATGTTCACCTTACAAGAAAATAAGCAGCAATGTACAAATTAAACATAACTTTATTGGGTTTACAATACAGGAAAGCGTATAGATCTCTTGGCAACACTCAATTTGAGTTACAGACAATAATTTAGTGGAAAGTGTAGAGCAAAAGTAGAATGGTGCAGATGCCAATCACTCCACCTAGGATTAAAGAGTCCCTCCTCTTTCGCAAATTGATTTTCTGGATGAGGCTGTTGATAGCAGGGAAACGATCTGAGGGGAGGGAACCAGTGAAGGGAAAATAATTAAGATATGAGCCGAGCCTGCTTTCCTTGCAGTAAGTAAGAGACGAATAGCCGCAGGCCGAAAAACAAGCCCATTAGTCGGACTCCTAACATACTCATGCAATAAATACTGAAAAAAAAGTATAAAGGAGTCAAAATGATACAGTTATTGCAGAAATGCTGAGAGGACAAAGATCTAAAAAAATGTGAATCCAACAGTGAGAGAAAAGCAGAATCGATTTCAGAGCTGAAAGGATACTGGCCAAAGTTGTGACCCTTGTTTGAATGGACTTCAGCATCCCACGCTGAAATGTGATGTTCTCCTTTGTAGCCATGGCGATGCTGGAGGAAGAGAAAGCATTATGGATCAGCAGCAGAAATGGAGAAATATATCTGCCTCTGCCAGATCATATTACACAGCATTTACGGTCTTGGCTAATTAGCTAAAAAGTTAGAAAGTCGGCTTTAATCGACCAGAAGGAGCTGGGATTCCTCGTGATGTGTGGGAGTAAAGGGAGAGAAGAGGGGGAGGGAGGAGTGGATGGAGCAATAAAGCTTACCTTATTGCATTGTCGATGAGACTATTTGAGCTGTGAACGAAAAGAGAAACCAGATTAAAAAGTCGAGCTCTATCGGACAAGTTAAAGACAAAGTGCTTATGTGTAAAATGACCCGCTGAGAGGTTTAAAAAAAAAAAAAACTTTAGAGAGAGACAGAACTGGCACTGAATAAACTGAAACATGTAGAAAAAGTCAATCTCTAGTTACAAAACCTCACCTGTTAATAAAATGTCTGTTTTTTTAAATGATATAGTACTTAATTCTCTCTACACTTCTTCTATCAACTTAGTTTTCAATCATTCTTTCTATTCTTCAGGCATCTTTGGATTCTCTCATCTCTCTCTCTGTTAGATTCTGGTAAACCGATCTTCTCTTCAGGTCTGCCCACAGTTGAAGAAGACTGATTTTGTCCGATAATTAGCTTCTGTTTTGGTTCTGGGTCTACAATATTAAATTTTTTTAACCTCTGTTTCTTTACATATTTAAAATCAGAGAAACACAAGACTTTACTCTTTTCATTTTCTTTCATGTTCCATCTTTTGCAAAAGAGCGATAACTTGTAAAAAAAAAAAAATACTCTGGCAATAATCGCTCCCATTGGATAAAATGGGGAAACCAGCGTGTGTTATCACCCTATTTGCAGAGAAAATAAAAAAAAAGGGTTTTGGTATTTTCTCCTGTAGAAAAGGTCCAGACCAAGTGGGAATGTAACCCTTCCAAATTAGGAATGAATTTAAATGTGCTTCAGTAGCACTTAATTCAAGGGATTGTGACATAATTATGGCAATGGTGATTTAAAATAATTAAAACACAATATTAAATTTACTTAAAAATGCAGTCTCCGAAAATATAACAGTTTGATGTTATATTACTGCAATAATCGTTTAAAATATGTTAATTTTAATTTCAACTCGTCCTAATCTGGGGTGCTGGAATCTGTCTGTGCTACTGCACTGCAAAAACGATCTCAAAATGAGTAAAACTGTCTTAAATTAAGTCTATTTACCCTTAATTTGAGCAGGTAAATAAGATGATTTGCCAATGGAATGAGTATTTTTACTCTTAAAATAAGGTATCTAGATATTATGCACTTGGAATAAGACAATGCAATTGTTTTTTTCTTGTTTAAAGTGTAAATCGTCTTGTTCCATTGGCAAAGTGTCTCACTCCAATCCTTAATTCAAGAAAAAATTTACTCATTTTTTTTTGCAGCGTGTGGAGATGAGATGAAGATTTATTTTTTTTAAAGCCTCTTTCAGAATCCTGTAAAGTGAGTCACCGTAGAAGTGAGCATCAATTATTCTGTGCAACATATTTTCACTGGACACATTTACATATTAGAGCACAGGCCTCTTTCTAGTTTGCTTTAGATGCAAGTAAGGATACCAGGCGTATATAAGAAAGACGGCGAACTTGAACGCACACATCAGTGCTTCAGCAGGCAGCCATTAGCAGCCCGGATAAGTGACGGATAGAAAAATGAAGTGTTCAGTCCAGAGCTGAAAGAGCAGAGAAAGGCAGCAGTGTGCATCCTGTCAGACTCCACTGGAGACCAAAAATCAATACAGAGCTTTATATTTTCTCCATCTATCTGTCTCCTACTGTCTATTCACTGCTGTCCTCCGCCTTTTCTGCTAAGCCTACATTAGCTGGCACTGAGTTCTGCTTTTAACATGATCCAATTTTTGCTTATATTCTGGAGAACAAAAACCACTCTACACACTTTAGCAAAAAGTAGATCAGAGTGAAGCCTGGTCTCAGGCATCAAATAAACATAAATATATATATATAAAAAAAAAACTATCTCTAGGTTGACTGTGCAAAAACAGAAAAACTTGAAAGAATTAATTCTGTCATGTAGTCAGTCCAAACAGTTATGAATTATTTAGTTAAAAAAGAAATACACATGGAAATATTCCTCTCGTGAAATGACACAACCCTACATGACCAAAGAACTCCATATCCCTTTATGCACATGTCTAGCAGGCTGCAGCTCTAATATAATTGCATTAGGCTAAATGGGTGTGAGGCAAAGTGGAAACCAGTGTCAGTATCCATCTGCACCCTGCATGGTAACAGCAGGCAACGTACCTGCTTTATAAAATCATCAAGTTTCACGTTCCACAAAAATGATGTTGGTGCAGTTTAAAGATTCCAACATGCTTTATTGTTAGCTTTGTTTTGTTACCTTTCATATGAACTACATAGTTTTATCCTCATATGCATGACCAATGGATGAAAGGGTCTTCTAGTTACACATAAATATTAAATGCTACACTGATGAAAATGTTCTGATCTGCATAGCTGCTGAAAATATGGCATGAGGAGCTTTTATAAGCAACATTGAGTCTCAAATAATTACAGTCACAGCTTAATCAATCAGAATATCATCAGAAAGTTAATCTATGATTGCAATTCAAATAAAAAAAAGTTTAACTTATGAACTTGGGTTTTATTGTCATATATCTAGGATGCATTTCTGCTCATTAACAGTCAAAATTCAACTTCTCGACTGAATATTACATAAGAGCAAAAACGGAAATAAATAAAAAAAATCCTTTTGTATTCATTTATTCCATGTCGGTGGCTCTCTGCTAAGTAAGCAGTATGCCCGGCTATCATGTAGTTCATAACATATAAATGTACTATTATTAATCTCACATTGGAGAAATTTACCTCTGCAGTTGACCCATGCCCTTGGGAAGCAGTGGGCTGCCATTGTGTGGCGCCTAGGGAGCAGTGTGGGGTTAAGTGAACTCAGAACCTCTGGATTCCAAGCGCAATGCTCTAAGCACTAGGCCACCACTCCCCTACATAAGATAACATTCCTGTTTAAAACATACCTTAACTGGTTTAATGTTCTAATTTTCTGAGAAATTGGTTGTAGATTTTCAGTTGCTGCAAGTAAAACTGCATAACCCATCAAATCACAACCATCTAAACCATATCAGCGCATGGTCCGTACACGTCAGCATCCTCCAGCTGCTTCTGGTCAGACCATTACAGGCTGCTGAGCTCACCAAATACACTCCTTTCATCTCAGAATACATTAAACTGTCGATTTGGCCGCTCCTTTGTTTTGTTTTTGATGATCTATTGCCTTTGGTTGCAAATGGAAGAACCTTTAAAGGGACGACACAGGGTGAGGAGCTTTTTCCCCCTATAGTATTTGCACTGCAAACAAGTGACACAGCAGGTAGCCATCATTAAAGTGTGGCATCAAATAGCAATATGATATCCAACTCTACCTGCCCTTTAAAATCACCTCTATCTCCCTCTCTAACTGTTTGCACAAAAGTAAATATTAGTTCCCCTAAAACCTCCTCAGTTTAAGCTGGTAAGGTTGTCTTCACTGGTATAAAATTAAAGATTTAGGCAGACAGTAGGGTTTCTCTAATATTGACATTTCTACCTCTTTCCCTTCAGGTTAAAAGTCAGGGTATAATCCTACACGGAGCTCTATCCTACATGGAACACGGTGAGGTGTTTAATTAAAATATAAGGAGAGTTATTGCTCCAAATTATCTAATGTTTATAGAAAGAAAATTTTTGGGTTTTTATTTTTATTTAGTTGACTTCGGATTTTAGTTTTTGTTGTTTTTTTATGCATAGAATCATCCATGTCTTTAATTTATGAAGTAAAAGTAGCCCTGAAAATAACCCACTATATTATTCTAAACTCTGAGGTCCTGTAATAACTGATTGGGTGGTTTTAATATTCTTAGGCTTGACTTATAGAGATTGCTTGGAGGTAAAATGGAACTGTGCACGTTAACATTATATCCAGGATGGCCCTAAATTCCTTAAAATTCAGGCTTCAGTTTTTTGAAAAAGTGACACAAAAAAGCACACAGAGAAGAAATGTATTTATTACATGAGTTGTTTTAGATTATCCAGTGAAAAAGGAGCCTAGGATGTAGACGGACCACTTCAATCTAAAGTGCAGATTAAACACTTAAACAACACAAACTTTTTGATCTGTCAAATTCTTGATCCACTGTTTATTGATTGCAATGTGCAGCAATGATGTTTGGACCCCAAAAAAGAAAAGAAAAAAAAAATACTATTTGTAAAACATTACACATTAGGTGATTAAACTGTTAACAAATATAAAATTAGTCTAAATTTATTCAGAGCTTTTTTTGCTGTCAGGCAGAGTCTGAATAAAGCAGCAATTGTTAATTAAACTATAGAATAGTTGTATTGGTAGTTAGTTTGCAAATTAGCTAAATTAGATAAAACTAAATTAGATGACAGCAGAGTGCTTCTGATACTTGGGATTCTCTGAGGTTGGGAAACATTTCCAGCGCCTTGCAAAATTCGGCTCTCTTGAACATTTCAACCTTTTGCCACATTTTAGGCTTCAAACATAAATATATAAAATTGTAATTCTGTGTGAAGTCAAGTCAATCATGAAGTGGAATGAAGTTTATTGGATATTTTACCTTTTTTTTTAACAAATAAAAAACTGAAAAGCAGTAAAAAAGGTGTTTTTTTTTTCCAACTCATCACCATCGCTGTTAATATGTAACTCCATGCGTGCCCATCTCACAGCTGATGTGAAAAACATGGGGAAACAAATTAACCCTGTGCTCGCTGTTCAACCGCTCGACATCGGTGTGAACCGGACCCAGCAGGTGCAGCAGAAGCAGCGAGTTTACATGCAAAGTCAATGGTTGACGCGCGTATAGGTGCAGCAAAAGGTCCTGCAGCTCGAGATGGAAAAATTGAAGTTTTGCTGCTGGACACGCCGCATCAACCAATCAGAGAAGCTGATCTGGGAGCTGACAGCGAGACAGACACAGCGCTCTGATGACATATGATATTAACGCAAATTGAAAAGGCTGGATGGATGAGGAGATGATGAAAGCGTAGCTGAGGGAGGTGTAGCTTATGTGAGGAGACCAGGTGGTTTTTTCCACGCATCACCATCGCTGCATGCCCATCTCACAGCCGATGTGAAAAAAAAGGTGAATAAAATGGATACTGTGCTCGCCGTTATCCCGGGGGTCTGACAAAGGAGCTTCAACCGCTCGACATCGGTGTGAAGCGGCCGTTCAAAGTAAGGCTGCGAGCGGCGTGGGAGCGATGGATGACAGACAGAGTTTCAGGATAAGTGGAAGGCAGCGCCGGGCGAGTTACGCCACCGTTTGCGGATGGATTGTAGATGCTTGGACTAACGTGTCTGCTGGCTCTGTTGTTCAAGCTTTTGCAAAAGCCGGCATTATTTCTGAGGAGCTGCGCTGCACGGAAAGTGACTCTGACAGCGAAGAAGGGGAAATGTGCATGTCTGATTTAGCGCAGCTGTTTTATTCAGAAACAGAGGATGATGACTTTCATGGGTTTGATTAATACTTTGTAATAAATACATGAATAAAGCACAATCATACTCAGTTTTGCTCCCGCTCTATTTTTCTACCTGAAAACTTAATTCAACAGCAGCCTCTGGGCGGGTCTCCTCCTCTTCACCGCGGTGGCTGGCAGGTGTTTTTTCAGCTAAATAATCTAAATCTTGCAGCTATATTTGCTGTGATCAGTGGGAATAAAGTAGTTTTAATATGTTTTTAAGTGAGAAAGTCCACCTGAAAACTTAATAATTGCAGTCAGTTCATCCAGATTATCTATTTCTGTCGGAGGCGCTCAGACCCCCACATACCAGCGGTGCGCTGACAGCAGAAATCCCTTCATCAGCAGCCTCTAGGCTGGGTAGCCTCCAGGTTCACCGCGGTGGATGGCAGGTGTTTTTCATCTAAATAATTTAAACTGCAGGCACCCATAAAAGCGAACATATTCCGTCGGCAGGTTTCAGGATTTTAAGTTAATTTAGGAGTGATCACAGCGCGGTGTCATCTGCGATGTGTCTGTCTCACGGCCAGCTCCCAGGTTTGATTAATACTTTGTAATAAATACATGAATAAAGCACAGTCATACTCAGTTTTGCCCCCGCTGTATTTTTAAATACGCAGTAGAGGTATTTAAAGGTAGTAGAGGACATGTACCTGTATATAAAAAACGCGCCCTATAGTCCGGTGCGCCTTATGTGTGTGTTAAATACAGAAATGGGACACATAACTGAGACTGCGCCTTTTAGTACGGTGCGCCTTATGGTCGTGAAAATACGGTAGATTTGGTTATTTTATTTAAAACCTTAAAACGTTTTTTAATTTGCAAAATAAATACTGTAAAAGATGTGGAAGATGTTTTAGACACAGACTAAGCATAATTTATTTAGGAGGGAGAAAGAAAAGGTGACTTTCTGAAAGCCTCTTACTTCCGTAGATGTTCATGTTCCTTCAGAAAGAGCTCGGTCCTTCTGTTGTTCACCCCTGAGTTGCTCTTGTAGGATCTGATTGGCAAAAGAGAGAGAAGAGGCAAGAGAAATAAATGGGAAAATAAACAATAAAACAGCTTTAAAGAAAATATAAAAAAAAGAAATCTGAAATAGTAGATTAGCAAAAAAAATCTGACAACATGAGCAACATGATGAACACTGTGTTACTTTGGTGCACAGAAGAAGTTAGTTTCCCTGCTTCACCCAAAGCATACTCTCCTATTTACACCATCCTCCTCATAACCAGACAATCATCTTTTCAATTCATCACCTATTATCTGCTCTGCCGCCACACCCCTCGCCAGCCTTATCATTAACCAGAAATAATTAAAATTCACTTTCATCCATTCTGTAATCAGTCAGCTTCAGATCACGACACGTCTCGCCTCCCTCCATCTATCCGTATTTTCCTCCCTCTCCCACTCTGTTGCAGCATTTCTCCGGACAGGGCCGGCCACATGTAACCACTCTCTCCCTACGGGGGCTGAATGAAAGCCTTGTGGTTTGATTTACTGTAGAAGGCACTTAGGGAAAGATATCCCCAAGAGAAGAAGGGGGAAACTGACAGTGAGGGAGGGATAGAGATCCAGAGAAAAGGAGAAGGGAAGTCTTAATGAAAGGAGATGTCTCTTATTAGTGTATGAAAGATGATAGAAGGAAGAGTGGACTTTAACATAGGAGGGGGGCTTTGAAAAAAAAGACAAAAAGTGGCACATCTCTGCCTCCTGCTGGCGAAGACTGAAAAAGCAAATACCCACAGGGAAAATTGAGACAATAAATTGTGAAAACGACTAAAAATAACCTAAACTGTCAGTTTACTTTAAAAGAACAGAAAATAAAATACCAAAATGAATACCTCCAACTGTGATCTGCCCAATCACAAACTAAATTGCTAAATGTTTTTCTACCCTGAGTTTGAAACACAGTTTCTGCTTTGAGTTTGAAACGTCTGTGCATGTGTATGGAGCTGCTCACTCGATGTCTCTGTGAACCGAACCCAGCAGGTCCTCCCGCTCCCGAAGGCTGAGGAAGTTGCTTTTAGTTTTGTGAAACTCGTGTGTGTAGTCCTAGAAGATGAAACATTAGTAGATTGTAATATCTCACACAGTGGAGAACATTTAGTCTTTAGTCAATATTTACTTTTGTCCTCAAACAAAAAGAAGCATCCAGCAGCTAGTACCTGTAAAATGTCTCTGTGCCTTTGTAAGGTGTGCATCAACGCTGCATTATGCGACAACGCTCCAGGACTGTTTGTGTACTCCGCCATCTTGTCATTGACCGCTGAAAGCTGCATGCAAATATCAAAGAACAGTGACCTTTAATCATTTAACTCCTAATTAAAAAAAGCATACAATTCAGGAAAATGTATAATGAAAATGATTGGCTATTATTTTAAACATCTGTTTTTTCCAACATTCACTGAAAATACTTTTCAGTGTTACATTTATCCACGATATGATGGCAGAAGGGATCTGTGACCTACTTTATTCAAGAGCTGCTCCACTTCGGAGGTCATGGCTACCAGCATATTGTCCTGGAAGGATTCAGACCTGATTGACAGAATGGAGATAGAAAGAACTTCAAGGTTCAAATAATGATATAATAATACTTTACACATAGCCTGTAAAGCCTCTACACCAGGGGTCGGCAACCCGCGGCTTCGGAACATTTTTTTTTTAATATGGTGTGCAGGAGGTCAAACAAAAAATAGTTATGTTTTCCAATGCTGTAAACATTTGTATAATAATTAAATTTAAACAATAATTTGCGTCATGTCTCGGACCATGGATCCCAAAGGGGAAAAAAGGAAGATAGCTGATGAGAAAAGAGGATTCAAAGAATGAACCGAATCATTTTCTTTCATTATCAATGTGGAAGGATTGGCTGCATTTTTGCTTGGTAATGAGAGGTTGGCAAAAAATAAAAATAAAAATTTGGAAAGGCATTTCCAGGGAAGGCTAAATATGCAGCCGACCAAAAAGCTGGGAGGAAGAGAAAAGGTGTGATTGCAGAACTTCTGGATAAATTGCTCTGTTGCTCTCAACAGAAACACGTCCACCATAGTAAGATTCCTTTATTGTGTTTCTATCATTTCATCAATACAACAAAACTTAAACCGCGCGGTGAAGGGCGGTTAAGCAGCGCGCGATGACACAGCGCGCGATGGTAGCATTTACTGCTCGTCCCTAACCTCATGCTGCTATGTGACATTAGCTCGGGGATAAACATTTAATCATGAATGCTTATTATATATTTAAGGCCACAAAGTCCTTTTCTATAGTTGGATAATACGCTTAGAGCCCGTGTTTCCATAAGAGGTGTATATAATACTTTTAAATTTTTGCGGCTCCGGACAAATGTATTTATTTTTTTTTGGTCCAATATGGTTCTTTGAGCAGTTTGGGTTGCCGACCCCTGCGACTGACAGTAGCTTTTTCTTCTTTTTTTAATTTTTTTTACTTTATCAATTCAGTGATTTTACCATTTTTCTTAGGGACACACAACATATCTTAATTGCCTTTGGTATTGGTGGGTTCTGGTCTTTTTTAAACATTTCCAACATTACCAACAAATGCTTTCAAAATGGCAAAATTATGCTGAAACCATAATTCAATGTTCAAAACAATTGCAATTTAATTAATAATGTCTCACATGTGTCTGTGTCTGTATGCATATTCTTCATATCTGTGTTTTTCTTCTGCTCTAATGCGGTTTCTGTCCTTACTGTGGGACAATATCTATACATCTATTCTATTTCACTTGGTTATTTTTTTTCTAATAACTATTAAAGGGGAACGCCATTTTTTTTTTTTACATAGGGCCCTTGATTTCACGTTATTACATCATGTTCTACTCTCCCATATGAGTTTTGTGTCATTTGGAGCTGTTCTGAAGATACCCACTTCGCTTCGTTTTTAAAAGATATAGATATAAAAATATAACTGTGGATGTCTGGGGGACAGTGATTCGCCTACATGTTATGAATGCTGGTGTACCATACAAATAAATTATGAACAGTTTAGTTTGTGCCTTCAACTCGTTGCCCATAGGAAGATGTTTCTTGGATATAACCTAACGGAATATCTTCAGAACGGCTCCAAATGACACAAAAATCAATGTAAAAAAAACGGCGTTCCCCTGTAACCCTGCTTCCTCTGCATTGCAACCAAAAATAAAGGCAAAATGTCATTAAAAAAGTAACATACATTTTTTTTTAAAGAACTGTCAGTTTCAAATCTTGAGGCCACGTACTTTAGTGTAAATAAAATACCTTTTATTGAAGGTTCATCATCCATTTGTTTGCATTATAAATATGTTTGTAATGTTCATTATGAATATTGAAAAGCTTTGCTGGCACCTGCTGTCTCTTGCCTGCTGGTCATGGCCGCTGCTGTAGTTGCTGCGGTAACTCGTGCAGAGCTTGCTGAAGGAGACCAGCTTGAGGTCCAGCTCGTTCTCCAGCTGCCTGGCCTGCTTACGTAAATCTGAGTGAAGAAATTGAGAAACATGCTGGGAAAATATTAGCAGATACAACAGATATTTGTGATAACAAACTAAATATTTAACAATGCAATAAAGAATGTGACTCTGCAGCAATTGCTCAAGCTTAACTGGAATGAAGGAAAATTAATCAAACTATAACTTCGGATGTGAAGATCCTGTAGTTGTCTGGATTTTCAGCCCACATATTGATCTTCACAGCTCTATAGCCGTATATTAATAATCTTTTAAATGCACTTATTTATATAGAAAATCAACTATTTTTCCAACGTACTCATCAGCAAAGACAATAGTTACATTTAGTAAAATATTCGATCGTTTAAACTATTTTCCAGTTCGTAGGACAACATTCAAAACTTAAAATAAACAGGCATATTCAATATGACTATCTGAGAGCATTGGAGCTTAAATTCAGAGCCTTAAGTGAATAAAACAGAATAATATCACTATTCAGTATTGTTTTAGGTTATAAGCTTAAAAAAAGCAGTCGTTTTTATTTGCTTATTCTAATTTATCATATATTTAAACACAGGTCGACAGCAATACCAAAACTGTGAGGAACAAAGACGAGGCGTTTCACTTTATAATAAAAACTTCTGAACTTCGACGTCAACAGTCAACATGCTAACACATTAGCTTTGGACATAATTAAACCCTCTCATTTGGACAAGCGTCAATTTGATTCGCGTCGTGTGATGTGAGCCAATAAATATGAGTAACAAGAGTTTACTTTGGATAACAAAAAAAGAGCAAGTCCACAGCCGTTTTTCATTTTTATGCCTGTAACATTACATACCTTCCCAGTAATTGCCGCTGGTTGCCATGTCTGTTGTTGACATGTCATCACCAGCCGTTAAGGAGAACAAACTGTCGCACTTCTTCCGTCACCCAGTCGCAAATAGATAACCTAAAAGTTCGTTGTTTTTCAGTGTACGAGGCATTTTAATTGTTGTTTTGTTTTAATTTTTTTACTACTACTAGTACTACTACTACTACCACCACTCCTACTACTACTAATAATAATATTTGTAATATAATATATAATGTAATATATAAGATAATAATAATAATAACAATAATAATAATAATAATAACAATAACAATAATAATAATAATAATAATAATAATAATAATAATAATAATAATAATAATAATAATAATAATAATAATAATAATAATAATAATAATAATAATAATGACCAGAAGAAGTTGAAGAAGAAGGGAAATAACAATTCTCTTGTTGTATTTCCCTCCAACCTTATCAACCTATTTAAGCACTGGAGAATACGTGGATCAGCTCAATGCATGGATCTGCCAAAATTTTCTTCAGCTGAAGCCAAACCGAATTGAAGTAATATATTATGAAACAAAGGAAGAGTGTTAAAAAATTGGTGCACATCTTTAGTTATTACAGCTAGAAAAAGAAAACAATCAGACTGGAAATCTGGGTGTAGAGATGGACTGAGACCTTCAGAGGCACAAAAAGACAGTATCAAAGCCAGCCTTGTATAACCTTGATATTTGCAGGATTCAAAAACTAATTCCTCAACAGGACCTTGAAAAATAAATTTGTGCCTTTATCTTTAGAATTAATTACTACAATGGTGTCTTTACAAGTCTTCCTAAAAAGTTCATCAGACAGCTGCCATTAATCAGAATCCTACTGTTGGTGTTCTCTCTAAAACTAAGTGGAGCACATCACCCCAGTTTTAAAGTCGTTACATTGGCTCCCTGTATCTCAGAAAATAGATTTTAAATTACTTAGTTGGTAAATTACTGAATGGCTTTGCACCAAAATACTAATAAGACTTGTTCCATCCACCCAGATATCTCAGGTCTTTGGGTTCAAATCTGCTCTGCATACCATAATCAGCTAATCTGGAATAAACTGGAAAAAGTGCTGTAACCCTGACGTGCTATAAATGTAGATTATTAACATTTTTAGATTTAAAATGACTTTTTTCTGTGCTGAAGTTTTCTGTCTGACTTTATTTTCTTTTATTATCAGCCATTTTATCATTATTTATTTTCTTTTATATAATCATCTTATCATTTTATGTTTTTATTTTTATTATTAGCATTTTAAAATTGTCTTGCTACTGAATTGTGCTATATAGATTACCTTGCCCTGCCTTATATTAAAAAGAACCAGAAATAAATTATTCTGTTTTATTGGAATATCTTTAGACTGTTCTTAATTGAAATATGATTTTTACAATCTAAAGGTAAATATTCTGAAAGTAGGTGGCCACGCATTGTGCAGGATAGACCCTGCACTTGATACAGGCTGTGTATGTGTCTCTACATCAGTGCAGTTTGACAATGAGGTGATCACTCTGTTCCCTCTGCCAAGGGGTAAAGACATTCCAGGTTGTTGTAATTCAGCCACTGACTCCCCTGCAATGTTGGCTCAGATGCCTTTTGTTTTTCGTTTTAGGAATTGATGTATTCTTAGCAGGGAGTAAATCAGGCCAGTTTCATGGCAAATCAAGCACAGGCATCCGTAATTGTTCAAGCAGTCTAGAGCTTGTACCAGGCCCAACTGGCAAATGGAGTCAGCATACTAATAAAGCTTACCAGCTATAGGGAAGAGTGCTTTTTGGTTTTACTGACTCTGGACCTGATAAATCACAGTGGGGTAACCCCAGCAGATGGAACGGGTGACCAAATCCTTCATTGAATCAACTTCACAGAGCTAAAACAGCATGCACATATCCCTCTTCACTCTTACTTAAATCTGAAAAGAGGACTTTGGACCACTGTGCAATAATACAGTTATTTTCCTCTGTCAACTGCAGAAAATATAAAATCTGTCCATCAGGTCTGCAGTCTTCCCCACAGTGAAGTCAGACATATATGTGGTTCAAATTTTGTAATGAACACAATTAACGATGTGCTGTAAGTCAAAATAGTCTACTATATATATATATATATATGTATATATATATATATATATATAAATATCCACTCTGTCTGTCCCCCTATTTCATCCCCAAACCTCTGTTTTGTACATAATGAACAGGTTAACTATATATCCTGACAGAGGAACTGTCGTAATTACATAAACTATATAATTATTAGGCTTTAACAGACATTATCAGTCCACATCATCGATAAAAATAATCTCCCCCCTCCAAAAAAAAAACCATATATATATATATATATATATATATATATATATATATATATATATATATATATATATATATATATATATATATATATATATATATAGATATAATATCTATATCTCTATATATATCTATATCTATCTAGATAGATAGATAGATAGATAGATAGATAGATAGATAGATAGATAGATAGATAGATAGATAGATAGATAGATAGATAGATAGATATAATATCTATATCTCTATATATATCTTTATCTACCATAAAATAGTGTGTTTTTAAATTATCTGTCACTCATAATTTTTTTTTTAACAAAAACGCTTTGCATAATGTAAAATTTGTTTGGTAACCTTGTTAATGCTCCTGCGAGGGTTTCATTGGTTCATACGATGTTTATGTCCTAAAAAAACATGTATTATAAGAAAAAAAACACATTTTCAGAATGTGATGGTTTAAGTATGAGTTGTAGGTTTTAAAGTAGGTAGCTGACATTTGTAGTTAGTCCTGGCTGATTAATTCCCGTAAATAAATGTCATAGTGATTCATTGAAGAAAAAAACAGAAAAGTAAAAGCATTAAATACATAATTATCATCAACCTGAATTTTTTTTTGCTCATTTCCTTTATTCATTATCCTAAACAAAAGCAGTCATTGATATTACATCAACACCAAGACTGGTAGTTAAGGCTTAGAGGACAATGGTGATGACAGTGAGGCCATCCTTGGAGGAGAAGGAAAAGAGCGTTAACCTTGGAAAAGTTTTTCGTCACCGCGCTGGAATATCCGTTCTTTATGATTGATTCCACATTGTTTTCAAATCTCTCATTCCAAACTTCTGTCTTTCTAATAACTTTCCTTTATTCATGTTGTGTCCTTTAAAACAAAAACAGCAAATGTGCAGGGAACCACTGATGTCAGTAAGCACCTTAAGTTCAGTCCCAGGTCCTGCTTCGACCGGTCGGATGAGCTGGGCTGGGAGAGTTGGCGGTTATGGGACAGTGAGAAGAAAAGAAGGGATGGAAATGTGAGGAGGGAAAGAGGGGAAAAGGGAGGAAGAATGAGGTGTGAAGGAAATCCCCTTTCAGTGCTGGATCCTGCGGATGGACTGGATCTGGGGAGTCTGGGCGTGGGAACCAAAGTCACGATAACATTTGTACTCTCCTCCGTGGCAGTCGCACTCCATGATGTATTGATAGCCACGGTATCCAGGGTACTGATAGCACACAAAGCTGCAAGAAAACACCAAGACATGGCATGAAGGATCATACTGAGTATATTTATTTTTATGTTGTAATGTCTACAATCACAATGTTGCATGTGTTAATGTTAAGACATGCTTTAGCAATGGGCTGTACTGTATGCCCAACTCCACCGCTTGCTGAGGTTAGACATCTGAATTAATCAGTTCATCCAGTAAAGAGAGGCAAGAAACAAAGGAGCTGCCTTAACTTCAGGAAGTAGTGGAGTTGTGCGTAGAGCCCATTATACCAGTGACCGATGTGGAAAACTGTTTCTAAAAGTTGCTCAGTTGCTGTCAGTTTTTCATTTTGTTTTAAGGCATTGGCAACACATTGAAATTAAAGAGAAATGCTGCATCATGTATCAAAGCAAGAGATCGAAGAGAAGAATGAAGTGTTAATTAAAACAGCCCAATAAGTTGTTAATTCATGCTGAGTTTTGCACAGTTTTTGTCTTAGTCAGTTAAATAACATGCTGCTGTCATTTTAAGCACATCTCTGGTGTTTGCTGCTATTTTCACATATTCATTACCGTAAAAATGTCCACAGCTGTTTATTGATTGTTTATTCTGCAGATACAGAGTAATTATATTATAAAAATACCATACAGTATTTTATTTATTTTCTTAAATCTGTCACTTATTCTGTTATTTTTACACACTTTTTTAAGGTCCACATTTGTGTGACAACTTCTGCTATAATCTTTTGCAGCTGCTGTAACAACACAATTTCTCCTTTGTGGGACAATAAAGGGATTTCCTATTCTAATTTCAGAAAACATCTCTCTTTTACAGCACCCTATCCTTTTAGGGCAGCTTATTATAGAAAGGTTTACTATATTCTAACATGTTTAAGTTAACTTAAAAACATTTTAAAGTCAGATTAGAAGTGCAGTCACGTCTTATCTGTAAATTAATGGGTTCAGTCAATGATTCACCTCTTCTGAATAGCAGTGTTTGTAATATTGACAAGAATTATTCACTTTGAAAAAGCCACTCTGCTACAGTAAATGATGTTTGTCTCTGTCCGTTAGAAGTATGTTGTGTGTATTGTTGCTTCTATGTACTGTTTTTATAAGTAACAACAGTGTTACATAATATTTCAGTGATGTTATCAATGAGTCATGCTGTAGCAGTTGTGCACGTCTGTGAAATAAACTGCATATGAGAGTTACTGGACATAAGGAAGAAGAACTCACGCTCCACAGTGGACCTGCATAGATCCAACCTCATTGTTGATCCAGCCCATGCCCTGCAGGGAGGGGTAGTCATCACACAGCTCAAACTGGCGACCCATCATGTTCTCAAACTCAAAGATGGTCATGCGGGACTCCTTGTGGTTCTACAAGGGACAGAGACAAAGCTATAGTTGGCCCCGGGGGAATCTTAAAGTTTTCTAAAAGAATCTCTTGTTGAACCTACAGCACAGCAGATTGGCCTGAGGGAAAGCATCCTCTCAATGCGATAGGAGTTGCTGCCACTGTAGGCCTCGAAGCGAGGATAATCACC